CTGTCAGGCTGCGCCGCGATGCGGGGCGCGTAGCGGCACAATGGAGAGCCAGCTGGCTCGCTGCAAGATCGTGGTGGTGGGGGACACCCAGTGCGGCAAGACTGCGCTGCTGCACGTCTTCGCCAAGGACTGCTACCCCGAGGTGTGGAGCGGGCCGGGGGCCGGGGTCTGGGACCAGGGGCCGGGGCCGGGGCTGGGGCCGGGGCCGGGCCGGGCCGTGACGTGACGGCGTGTCCTGTGTCGCCCGCAGAACTATGTGCCCACCGTGTTCGAGAACTACACGGCCAGCTTCGAGATCGAGAAGCAGCGCATCGAGCTCAACATGTGGGACACGTCCGGTGAGGGCACGAGTGCCGGCCCCCGCCCCTGCCGCCTCCGCTCTGCCGGGCGGCCCTGCCCTTCCCTGCACCGCTTCTTGTGCCCGCCTGCTTCCCAGGCACCCCCCCCCCTACGAGTCCTCGGGCCCCTAGGTGCTGCGACCGCCTTCTAGGCAGGGCGCACTCCGAGGAGGTCGGGACCACCCGTGCCGGGAGTTGCGCTCCCTGCCCCATCTCTAGCTTTTTGTCTTTTGGAGCCAAGCGAGTAGTGCTCTGTTACCCCTGGGCCCTGAGATGGTGCAGTAGGATGGGAGATGTCCCCCAGGTGCCAGGGAGCAGGGACAGGCGCTGTGCTGGGGTTGTGTAAGGGGCAGGCGTTGTTTCCATCGTTTCCCCATCCGCCCCACACCCATGCTGGAGCTTCTCTAAGGCCCCAGGAAATAGGAGATTTGAACATACCAGCACTTCATCCTGGCGGAGATGAGGTCTCCATCTCCCCTGTGCTCGGGGCCTGTGCAGCAAAACTGTGCCTTGCCCCAGATTTCAGAGGAGGCTGCTCCCTAGGGCTTCAACTAGCTTCCCGTGTGAAAATATGGTTTTGCTCTCTCTGTTCCTTTCTCGGCTTAAACCCACTGAGCTGAAATTCCCCAGCCCACGCATCCCTCCTGCAGCAGGGTTGCTCTGCCGATTCGTACTGTTGGGTCTTGTCTCTGGGGAAGAACTAGCTCCCTGTCTGGTAGATTTCCTCCCGGGCAGTACAAGTACTGGATCTGGGAGCTGTGCCTCACTGAGCTAGGTTTCCTTTTTTTTTTTTTTTTTTTTTTTTGAGTCCCAGGGCTCATTATGATCCCCCTGAGCTAAACAAATCCTCTCCCTTCTTGGGATGTGTATATGTGCCTTTTGGATATCTTGTTATATTTACACACCACTTGCATGTGTGCTGGTAGACTTGCTTGGTTTGCTGCGTGTGTTCATGAAGACTGTCTATTTGGCAAGTGACTGCTCGGTCCTTAGAACTAGTGTTCCTGCTTCTGAAATGTTATTAGCTGTATGTTGTTGAATGTTTTCCCTGAATGGCATATTTTGCTGTGCTCAGACCAGCCTGGCTGTTTTATAGGATCTAGCTGGACTGTAATATAATAAATGCCATGGTAACCCCATTAGTATAATTATTTATTCTTGCATTAAAGTGTGTATAGATTTTCTTGTCTCTTTCTTCCAGCTTGCACTAACACAGTTGCCTAGAGGTGCTACCGTAAGCTGCATTGAGTTGCTATATTTACATTAGTGCCATTCCTGTTTTGACCACATAATTGAATAGTAATAAAACCAGTTCTTAGGTGCAATGTGAGGCTATAAAGGAATGAAGAAAAATCCCAACACAATTTTTAAGTGGAGACCTCCCCATGTCGGGGGAAGGTTTCTTTGCATTAGTACTTTTTTTGCCTTTTTAATTTAATTTATTTGGGCTTTTGTTGTAGTGGGGTGGTGGTGTTGTTGTGGGGGGCGGTGTTTGTCTGTCCTTAGCTAGAATCATTCAAGAAGCCATAAACAGTCTTTCCAAACCTCAGTTTTACAAAACTTCATGCTTCTGTTTTATATGTTAGCTGCAAGTGATCAATTTGAAGCGAAGCTGCTGAAAATCTTGAACCAAGCTGTTCTTATGCATCTGAAACCAGGACATGGGAAGTAGTCTATGTTGGAGACCTGGTGATAAAAGCGACACTAGGTTGTTGGAGTCTGAATGAGAAATGAATTTAATTTCTCTGTCCAAGAGCAATAACATGAAACCTTACCTGAGAAGTTCATTGTTCTTGCCTGAACTTTGCATTTATTCAGCTTGTGGTTGTGGGATTAGCTCTGCCTTACCCAGCACAGCTGGTTTTTATTGAATCATAGACTTGATTTTTTTGGGTTCAAGATAGACCTTGTGCCCCTGCTGGGGCTTCTTAACTGGGGAGATGTTATATCTTCTGTATAAAGGCCTCAGTGTCTTGAGACACCAAATGTATCTTTTTTCCTTTGCTAGAAGAGATTCTGGCTGGCAGCTGAGCTTCTGGAGGGCAAAAAAAATAAGGTGTATGGGCCTCCATATCTAACAAGGCATCGGCATTTAACTTCAACTTGAGACAAGCTGCAAAGACTAAATGTACAAAGTAATGGAAACTGCTGCATGGGGGGTGTGTGCAGAGACTGACATTTTGGCAGACTTGCACTGCTGGATCCAAGGGGCTTTTTACTGCTGGGTCCCTCTGTAGGAGCCACACCAGTACAGTGCTGAATCACCCCCTTGGCTTTCCAGGGCACAATTTGTGAATGAGAACCTCACCACTGTCATGGCTCTGTGTTTTGTGCATGCTGAGGTCTGTTATCCCAAGCAGTTGCTGAGGAGAGTTTCTAAACTGCAGTCTTGAGGACTGTAAGCAGAGACAGGGTGCGGTGCCTTTGTTAGAGACTAATGGCTGTGCTGTGGGCAGCTAGATTTTTACAATTTAAAACATCACCTCGTGTGTGGGAGCCCATTTGATGTACTATGTGTGAGACAATGTGCTCAAATTTACTTTAGAGCTTTAAATGTACCCTGCCCCTGTCTCTGAGATTGTAATGAATGCAGCTCTACCTTTCTAAACCAAAGATGTGAGGTCTGTTGTGTATCCCTTTCTGCTCTGCTGCAGAAGAACTTGGATTCTTTCTCACTCCTTATGGGGAAAATACAAACTCTGGCCTTTTTGGGGGGATGGAGGGGGGAGGACTGTCTTTTTTGGGGGGGTGTGCATTTAATGACTTTATTGCAGAGTTTGTTTGTTTGTTTTGTTTTTTTCCTCGGATAAATTCCCTTCTGATGCAGCTTTACTTTGAAATATGTAAGAGCTGGTCCTTCAATACATGGCTTAGCAAAGCAACATGCAGCAATTTTCCCCAGTAATCAACCTGATATTTTTAGCCGTAGCCTGCGAGCTGTTGTTGAATTTCCACTTCCTTTTGGAGACGCTTGTAAACAGAAGCTCTTGGTAAAAGAAGTTTTGCACAATAGCAAATTGAGCCAGCTGAGCTGACAGAGTGGCTAATTGCTCTGTTTGTGCAGAATGACAGTCAGTGGGGTGCACTTTCCCCGGTCTTGGGGCTACCCGCTGTCCCTTTTAAGCGGTTTCTCAGGCAGGAACATTGTTAATGCTAAATTCCATCCTCGACAGGAGGGGAAGGGGACCCGCTGAGAAGCTGCTTGTCTCCTGTCTTAACCATTCTTTATTTTAAACGCTTGCCAGCCCCTGGCTAGGTAAATGAAACTACGGACTACAGACAGTACTGGTCTCTCTGCCCTCCTGAGGTTTGTAAGAGACCTGAACAGGGAACTGCCCATTGATATCTCTTCCCACGGCTTCTGCAGCTAGTTGTAAAGTGCTTGGGGACTCCCAAGGCTGGGTGGGGTGATCTGGGCTGTGTCCAGTAATGGGCAACAGGGCAAACGCTGTCCTGTTTAAACTCCTTTTATTAGAGCTGAGTCCAGTGAGGATATTGCAACTGCTCTGACTGTTCAGGGGCTCTGGGCTTGTGGGGCTGAGCTGGTGCATGCAGTAGCTGGCTAATATAGTCATTTTGGACTGAATTTGCCCCTCTTACTAGCAGGTGATGACATTAGCAGACAGCAAATGAGCAGATAAAGATTTTTTGTTTGTTTGTTTTAGGGAAGCATTACTCTTGTAAGGTGCACGGCAAGGACAGGAAGCAAATTAATCTGATATGGTATCTGGTTTCTTTTATACCAAATGGCGTGAAGGGTTTCCATACCTGGGGGGTGGCTCTAGTCTGGAGTAGAGTTGCTGGCACTTGTGCCAGGTTTATGCACCATTTCCAGCACATTGGGGCCCAAGGAATTTCACTCCATGCCTTTTTAGGTTTCAAATATCCATAAGACAGTGAAGCAAGGATTCTTAGCCTGCCAGGCTCACCAGTCTTGTCCAGTATTTGTTTCTATTTTATGTCCGTCCTACATCCAGATGCAGTGTAGCAATGAAATTCTTTCTGGCACTGCTTTGCATCACAACAGGCTGTACTTGTGCTGCACTGCTCCACCCCAAAGCCTTTATGTGAGGGTTTAGGTATCTTTGTGCAACCTTCTTTAAGAAGCACTTTGTGACCCCTGTGTGTGTGAGGAGAACCTACCTGCTGATCTGGAGGAGAGGGGCATTATGCCTAGTGGATCTCTGAGAGAGACAAAGGGAGAGCTCTGGCTTTGGGAGCTCTGTTCTGCAGGCCCATGGCTCTGCAGCCTGGCAGAAGGGAGCTTGCTTTGCTCTCCTTCAGGTATGCAACTGCTGCAAGTTCTCCTCATTAGTATCCACTGGGACAAATGTTGGCACAAAAGCAGCTCCTGAGTGGCCCTGCTGTGCCACTTGCTTTGGGGAACTTTCCAATTTGACCTGTCACTTTTGGCTTGTTAAATGCTGTCCTTGGTTCTGGGACTGGGTTCCTCCTTGGAGCTCGAGTGGTACCTGATGCCTGACAAAGCAAAGAGATGCTTCCCTCCCCCAGCTGGTGTGGAATGGAGAACTTCAGCCAGGTGTTTAAAAGGTCTAGATAATTTTGTACTTTTTTTTTTTTTTTTTTTAAGGTTAGGCCAGCCACACTTCCAGCTTCTGGGTGGGGGGTGTCACAAATGTGTCTGCTCAGTGTTCTGGCTATTGGTCAGGTGCAGGTGTTGGGAGGCTGCTGGGGTAGCTGCTGTCTAAAGCATCAGATATTGGTCATTAGCCTCTTAGGACCATTGGAAAACCCTGCTTTCTAGGAGAGAGCCTGATGGGTAGCCAGCCTTTCTGCCCATACCTCTTCAAGGGCTGCTTCAGATTGGGGGTTTGTATTGGAGACTACTTTGCCTGCCTTGGGGTACACTGGGTTTGCTCACCTCTTTTCTTTGTGCCTCCCTGGCTGAGGGAAGATTTTTCTCCCCAGTGGTTCTTCCTTGTGCCTTGCTTATTAGCAGAGGAAGAAGTGGCATCAAGCTTCTTCAGAGGCCAAGGTGC